ATAAGATGCACAAGGCTGATTCTACTGTTCCTAAAATCCTCAACATTAGTTGTCTTTGCATAGATACTAAGCTTTTCCACACTGATATGCAATTTAGAAACATGTGCCCATGAAAAATAACTTGCTAAAAAGGTTAAATATTCTAAAAATAAAATAAAGAATGGCTACGGGTAAATCTGATCATTTCTTACTAGACAGAAAATAAACTAAATGCCATTTTATCCTAACTACAAAATATTGATGGATCATACAAATAAGAACAATGTTAACCTGAGAGGTTTATCTGACTGGGTACAAGAAATTCTGCAGGCATTTTAATAAAAGCTGTAATCCCTTTGGGAAAATAAAATAAAATAGCAAGAGCAGTAAGAATGAATCGAAAATCTAGTCAGAATAGAATTCCCACACTTCACCATATTACTTCCCTGTGTCTCAAACTGAGTTTCATATTATACTTTTATGACTGAATGTATAAATTCAGGGATATGATAGTAAAGCTATTTTTTCATCTCTGGTATCTTACCAATCTAGCCCACCCCACCAAAGTTGAATTCATTAGGATTCCTTTGAACTGCCAGCAAATCACAGCCCAAACTCATCTTGTTTGCTTCACTATGATCTACCCAAGTTTATCTGTGAAGTTAACACTGTAACTCTGACCAGCACTTTGGGAGATGTGAAGAAAGATAAAAGATTAAGTCTTCCCCAAATGACCACTGTAAATCTCTATACCCTCTTATTGGGAGACCCCAGGGTTCCCTGTGGGCCTCTCTTGTGACTACAACAAGCAATTGTGTCTTCTATAGGTGACTCCCTGGTATTCTTTGGTTGTAAGGCATCAAAAAACAGGAAGTAAGAGTTCATATCTAAAACTAAATGCCTCAAACTCTGCATACATCACTACTTCTCTTTAAGCCACCATTCTCAAAATAGCCCCTCACCTTATTGAACTGTTCTTGATAAGATCCTGGTTTTCCTCATCTCCCTACTCCCCCACAGCAGTTCTTCCTTCCACATAAATGTAGTTGCTCTCTACAGACCTTAACCTCTCAGTATCAGTGTTTCTTCTCACTTCTGGCTCATCTTTTAAAAAATTGGTACATATTAAAAAAAAAAGATGATGATCTAATGGAAACAACAAACTGCTCCCCACATGATCCTCCCCACACTGTATCTAGAAAATACAGGTATAAACACTTTATGGAACTCAAGAGTGCTTTACTTCCTTCTCCCCCACATTAATACATCATTTCAAAATCCCCTTAAACATATGACTAAACCACTAACTTCAAACTACATTGTCTCCCAAAACTCAACTACTGAAAGTGTAAGATTAGTCATTTTTTCTTCAAACTTGGCCAATACTCACACTGCTATCTTTCCAGTTACCCAGGTTTAAGTAATCAGTATCAGTTTTGTTTCCCAGTATGAATTTTTACTTATACTTCTGAACAGATTAAATCTGACCATGCCTTTGTCTTACAGATTCTACCTCTAAGATGGCTTATCCATGTATCCTCATCCTCTCCCTGTCTGATTTTGTACAGCATTACATCATCTCCACTGTAGCACTATATCCTATAATATCCTATAAGTGTCCTCCCTTAAGCATGACCCCACATCTCTCCCTGCTTGCAATCCTTGAGCCTGGTCTCTCCATTTTCCACAGAATATATTAGTTTAACATTCAAGGGCCTCCACAATTTCATCCTTCCCTACCTTAACAATTCTTTTCCAGAAACCTAAAGGGCTTGTCATACCAGACTCAATATTCTAAATAAATGCTTGATATTTCCCCCCACAAAAATTCACATTTCCAGTTTCTTTTTAAAAGAAAATCTGTTAATACTAGGCCCACATACCAATAACTGAAGCCAAGAAGGCCTTCTCTGACTTAACAGTCCCCACTACTTCTCTAACTGTTCAGTGCATGGCAAGCTTCTCTTAATTGAGCTTTTCTGTCTGGTTCTGCACACAATCTAAATTTACAATCTTAACTAGAAAAATATGCCAACCTATCCTGGCTCCCAGACACAGTTAAGTTCCAATTAAGGTTACACTACCTCTCCTTGATATAACTTTGTAAAAATATAACTGGAGAAATGTTATCCACTGATAAACAACATAGATAGGCCAGCGCTACTGTTATTCTTGTGCTTACTGGGTCCAGGGAATTCAAAAAAAGGCTGAATGACAGCTAAGGAATCAAGCTGCAGAAAAGTTTACAAAATATCTCTGCTGCATTTATTCACAGAGGGTGACCTACTACTTCAGCAGACTTCAATAGTATAGCTCCAAGTCTGATAACTTGATAAGGGCCTGGCTTTTAGCATTTTTGTGCACTCAGCTTAATACTGATAAATATCAAGGCAAACAAGTAAAAAACAATCTCTAATCTGCAGATAAATATTAACAGGGTTACTGCAGAATATAAGTGGTTGTGATATACTTTTCCTACTGAAAATCATTTCATTGTTAACGTTTCAAGAAATCAAAACTGACTTTAATGCTAAGAACCCAGCATGAACTCCTTTTCTCCCAGACTTTACACATCACCCAAAGAAAACTCTAAATTACTTAAATAATTTCTCTATCTTTTAAACTGAGGGAAGTCCCAGGGAGTGTGAAAAACATTGGAAAGGGCTTTGGGTTCATTATCATCACTACCATTTTTTGGTAAGACACTGTATTTTCCAAGATGTGCTTCCTATCTTCCCAGCACTGGGAAGCTACCTTACAGATGGGAAAACAAAGGTACAGGGAAAGGAATCATTTGCCAAATGTCCCAAAGTTCAGAAGAGCAGTAATGTTGGTTCCCTGCTTTGACTCTGGAAACTAAGCAAAGAAAAACATGCAACTATAAAAAGAAAATAGGCTCCCACTTAAACCCTTTTAGAGGCAGATATAGGAAGACAGAAAGAGGTAGGTAGTAGGAACAGGTTATTTATTTTTAAAGATTTCATTTATTTATGCATACGGAAATGGGGTACAGGACAGAAGTGCAGGGGTACCGAGAGGATTCACCAGAAACAGAGTAGGAAGTAGAACAGGCAGATGGACAGGCTGAGAGGAGCAGTGGGGTGAGACAGGAGAGGTCTGCCACGCTATGTGGGTCATGAGG